TTTGTACGATCACTCCACATTTTTTAAATCCTATTTCGAAAATGTTCTGTAACTTTTTACTGCAATTGAAAATCCCAAAACGCACACACGTTTTTAAAGCGCTTTGGGCCCTGAAACCGAGGAAAAAAATAAATTAGCGAAAAACGAAATTCGCTTTGTCTTGTAGCTTTCGAAAGGTGATTCGGGCGCTCGCATTTAGTGGTCGTGAAAAATTCGACAATTCATTTTATTTCAAAATTCTTGGTATAGTTTGATAGCAAGCTCTATAAGCTTTAATTTGATATAGGGGTTTAGGTATCTACAGCTTAAACTGCACGCGCTACATCGCTTGTACGCGAGACATCCCTGAAGGTATACTGTTACCTTGAACCGGCTTCGAGGAAAGCAATAGTCAGTAATACAAACAACATCGAAATATATGACCGTAACGCTCGACACAGATGAGGAACGTATGAATGTACTTCATATACAAACCTACAGCTGTAAGGAAAAGCTGGTAGTTTTAATTCTACCTAGGTTTCTACCTAGGACCAAAACTTTAATCTTGAAGCCAGGTAAGAGTTTCGGCAGGCATCCAACTTGTGTCGAGCGGACCGAACTTCAAGCAATCCTAGAAAACTTTTATTAGATTGAATGAATAAATAAATAAATAAATAAATAAATAATTAAATAAATGAATAATTAAATAAATAAATAAATAAATACTGTATGTAAATGTAAATGTATGCGTAATTGGCCACTCCCCATCGGGGCTTTTCAGGACCAATGTAAACAAACAATGATAAATAAATATTCAAACAACATAACTAGGTTAAGAATCCCGACTCATTTAAATACTCAAATAAAACTCATTTTAGTGATTGACTAGGTTAGGGCTTCGAAATCGCAGCTTATGAGAAAAATCGAATCAGTGGTCGGCATTTACAGAGACAGCCTCTTGAAATTTGAAATAAATCAAAGGCTCCCTGAGCCAGCTCCTGGATGAATAGTTGATTTTTGCCTCTGTGGCAAAACGGGTCTTTGTGCAAAACTATTCGTATGAAAACGGATATCACCTGTACGTCCATTCTCTTGAAAATCAAGTCGTGTTCATGTGAAATGTTTCGCACGAGCATTCGTTCTAAAAAAGAGGCAAACAGCAACTACGAAGTGGAAGTAAGGTCTGCATATGAGCCAAGTGGCCCATCAGGTCGGCACTTATCTCGGTTTCTGTAGCATGAAGCGACTAGGAGTATTTATACTACCCCCGGATGGGATGCTAGTCGATCGCAGGGTTACCCCGCCATATCAAATATGCCAATACTTATTTATATACCTGAGTGGAAAAAGGTACTGTGAGAGTTAAGTGTCTTGCTCAAGAACACAATACAATGTTCCCAGCCAGGGCTTGAGGCCAGAATACTCGAAACAGAAAAGAAATCCAGAAATCAAATAACAGGTTGTTTACCCAGACAGCTTATAAATTTTAAAATGGATATTAATTAATTTTGATTGGAATTGGAACATTGTTATCATATTACCTTGTACATGATGTAGTGTCAAAGAGTAACAACAGTCTGTTTCAAAATGAAATTATTAAATGAGAGTTCACCATATTTACCAGTCATTCCAAAATTGACAATATAATTATGAATATGAGCCAGCAGTGCATTTTGGGACAAGGTAAATTGGTTATGGTCCTTGTTCAGTTAACATTAGGAAACAGCTGTATAACAATGATTACTATTATGCAAAAATTACAATAGATGATTTTGAAATTATTTTAGACAATCAACTTGAGAATGCCAGGTCTGCGAAGAGTATTTTGCCCAATTTCACTTAATTATAGTGAGACATGGATATTGGCAAAATCTTGTTTACTTTAAGCTGTCAAACATTAACAATTAGATGGTAGCTTTCGGGTAAACAGGAAATCTATAGAAAAAAAAAATTTCTTCAACATTATAAGAATGATTTCAGACAGTTTTGTTTCAATCATGAACCTGAAGTGAAAGGAATGCTTTTATTTACAATTTATAAGGTTTGTCCTTGGAGAGGAGGACGGGAAGTAACAAAGTTTTATATAAGGAGGCTCTGGCCCAAGGTCAAAGACCTATCCATATAACAGTGTTCTTGACAGGAAAGGCTTTCCTTTTAGTATAAACATGTAACTTCTAGCCTGAAACCCCTTTCACAAACCTAATGTGGCCCACTAGATCTTATTTCTACGATAAATAATTAATTAATGTTTGAAATCCCTGTCCTATTAAGTCATGATACCTCCAGCCTGAAAAAAAGTACACCTTTAGTCAACTGTAGGAAGAAGTCCACCAGCTTGGTGCAATACAATAATAAGGGTACTACATATTGTAGTGCATGCAAGTAAAATAACAATAATTTTCTTTCTTGGAAACATCACGGTATTTTATTCCTATATATCTTGGTAATTGTTTGTGCTAATCTCGCTAGCAATGCAGCAATATTCAAAAGGATTGCGGATATGTCTTTCTAATAGATTTTTGCAAGGATTACAGAACATACTTATGTTGACAAGTATCAACCATTCTCTTCTCCAGAATTCAAGTTTTGATGTCAATTTGTTTAAATCTCTCATTTCT